ATCCCCAGACCTTTTTATGTTTTATTTTGAGACAGGGTCTTGCTAAGTTGTTTAGGGCCTCACTAAATTGCTGAGGCTGGCTTTGACCTCATGATTCTTCTGTCTCAGCGTCCTGAGTTGCTGGGATTATAGGTGCATACCACCATATCTGTCTAAAAGCTTTTTTAAAAAATTTGGAGATATAAAAGACATATTGGGAAACAAATATATATAACTCTATTTTTATTTCCACCTTATAGCAAAATGTGGAGGAAGGACTTGAGCTAAAAGTCTAAAGACAGAAGCAGAGAATATGTTATCTGAAAGGATATTAGACTACTTATTGTCTACTGGAAGGGTTATCATTACAAAATTTTACTAGAACTTCTGGTGTTATGCCTTCAGATCAGGGAAAGGGGGAAAATATTTGAAGTTGTTCTTTAGTAGTGTTCGGGCTATTCTGGGTCCTTTCTTTTTAAAAATATTTCAAACTTGTCACATTCAAATCTACCTTCCAAATCGGGAGGGGTTTTGATTGCAATTACTTTGAATTGACAGATAATTGGAGGGAATTAATACTTGTACAATTAGCGTCTCCTTATCTCTAAATATATCAATTTTTGCTGACATTGTTAGATTTAATCCTAGGCATGACAGTACCTTTTCCTTTTAAATTCTTAATTTTCTACTAGTTTGTTACTATGGTATGGGAATATAATTAATTTTTGTATAGTGATTTTGTATACAGATACTTCATCAAAACAGTAATTTTGGCTTTCTCTGTAGAAAACCATATCACATGTAAGAAAAAATTGTTTCCTAATTTACACTCTAATTATTTTGCCTCTTCTTTTGCTTTACTTCATTTCCGAGAGTTTCTGGTTCAGTGGAAGAGGTGTTAGCAGGCATTTTTGTTTAATTCTTCATGATAAAGGAAAAGCTTTAATCCTAACCACAATTTTAAATGTTAATCTTACTTTATTCTGGATTTGAAAATTAACTTTGAACTGGTGGATACACTATTAAGTTTGATGTTTATTACAGGTTATGTGTTATAGTCTTTCTGTTATTGTTGTTAGTCTTTGGTAGTTTCCTTTCAAATGATTTTTAAATTGTAAATGGATTTTTAGATCCACTGAACATTTTTTTCTTCCTATATTGAAATAATTGTCAGATTTTCTTCTCACTATGTTAATGTGAAGAATCCCATTAAATTACTTTTTAATATAAAACTTTCAATTGACTGATAATATGCACGACATTTATGGAATTTCAACATTAAACTCAAATTGAATTAGCACACACATAAGATATTATAAGATATTATGTTTTCAGATTCGGTTTCCTAATTCCTATTTTTAAAGATTCTTTAAAAATATATTTTGGGGCTGGGATATAACTCAGTGGTAGAACACTTGCATAGCATGCACAAGGCCCCGGGTTGCATCCCTAGCACCACCATCATCACCATCACCATCACCAACAACAAAATCAAACAGGAGAGAAAATTAGTCCATAATTTCCCCATCTTGTACCATTATTGTCTGGCTTTGATAGCTCATCAAATTAATTGGGGAGGTTTTTTTTWAAAAATTTTTTCTGGTCTCTGAAACAGTTTACACAGAATTAAAATTCTGTTCTAAAAGATTCACAAAATTGGCTGATAAATTTGTCTAGTTTTATTATTTTATGAGTCTTACTTAAAATATCACATGAAACTTAATCTTAGCAATTTTTGAGTGCCCACTTGAATAGCATATTCCTTTTGCTAGATATTTGAGAATAGTTTTAGAATAAAGTTTCAGGTTATGTTTTTCTCACTTATGGGTACTTACACTTGTGACTTTAGACCTACGAATCTCCAAGAGAGATTTTGCCCACATTGGCCAAAACACAGAAATCCCCTCTAGAAGGTGAGTTTTTTTCCCCCTATCTCATACTTTGAGAATATAGTCCTTGGGATCTTAACTCTGTGTCCCCCCTCTACTCCTATGTTTGTGAATCTTTGGATTCTTGCTTATGCTTTCTTTGATGATGTCCATTGTTTTCTTACAGACACAGTGATATATATTATACAATAATTTCTATTATTTGGCCTCAAGATTTCCCAGATAGACAAAGACTCTCGTCTTTGGAAAAAAACCTTTGAATTTCTGTCTTGGTTACATGCTATTTTTATTGTTTGCTCCAGATTACTGAGGCTTGTCTCTGCAGTGGGGGGCCTATGTTGGATATTTGCATTTCCAGAACTTACTAGGATATTTTTACTGAATTAAAGTGCTTCCCTTGGGAATGACATGGCTAATGCTGCCCTGGAGTAACAATTTTAACTATTTCCCTTTTTAGATTATGTTAGAATAATAAAACTGAAACCATGTGTTCACTTTTACTCTTTCATTCCTTAGAACAACACACTCCCTACTAAAAATAAGAAAAAAAAAAAAAACATCTAATTTGGTAAAATCTACATACTCGAGTAAAAGCAATTCATTAAAGAAACCAATATAATTTTGGAACAAAGCTGTTACACAAAGCTTCTTATGGAATATTTGGCTGTGGCTGACATATAAAAATGTATTTAATAATAATCTTTTCCACATAATAAGATGCGGTGCCCATACCAGGACTGAAAAGGTGCCATGATATGGTTTTGTCAATTGTTGCCAATAGTGCTATTTGGCAGTATTGGTTAAAAGTGTGCTTCACTACCTCCCAGACTAAAAAGGAGAGAACAAAGACAGGGATAGTAAGGAAGGTGAAAGTACTGGACACATTTGAGTGAGAGGAGCTGTGAACCTAGAGAAGTCAACAGGAATGGCAGCAGCTGGGGTGAGTGAAAGGTACACATGGCAGAGGAGGTTTCCAGGAGCTTGCATTAATAGAGAATAGGCAGTTAGTGAAATTGCTACTATTATCTAGACAAGATCCAATCCTAAGTAAGACACTGGAATTTAAAGTGACAAAGATTTCTAGTTAACCTTTAAGTGATGTTCAAGATAATAACAAAAACACTATCTACTGTGGAGTGGGAGGACAGAGATTTGTTTGATCATCTGTTTTGGACTGCCTTTTAGAAACTTTCAGAGACAGTATGTAACCCTCAAACTAAAAGAGCTTGAGAACTTTGATGTAAATGAGACAAATGTGGAATGCAGAAGTCATTTTCGAAATATCAGCCAAACACGAAGATGTGACAGGAGAATGTAGTCCTCAATTAGACAATTTTGACTTAAGTATTACCTTTCTTGTATTTAGCTGACAGCTGTTGGAAATAATTCATTAAAATTATTCAAGCTGAAATGTTTGTATTATTTTCTTGAGACCCAAACTTACTATAATTTGAAAAGTCATTTTATTTTTTCACAGTGAAAATGTATCCATCAAAGAATATAATTCAGCTATAATAAATTGAATGACTAGAAAAGACCAGAAAAATGTTCAGTACTATGGATCATAAATATATGTGTAGCATATAATAGGAAAGAAACAAGCAAACAGAAAGAACAAATAATTTTCACAAAGTACCAACATTATATTTTAAGATTTAGAAGCACAAATTTTTTTTTGAAAAAAAATTTAYTTTGTATTGACTAATAAAGAGAAATAATAAACATGGAAAATGTATCATATATTGTTTAAAAAGAAATATTTTAAAAACTATGTTTAATTTCAAAAATAATTTTATTTTCAAACAGTCCAAACTAGTTCTTTAACATCTATAAAGGTGCCTATGAATATGAAAAATGGAAAAGGTGTGCTTTTGACCTTGTCTTCTATTTTATTTTTAGCATGAGAATTCTGTGATCTAATATCTCCATATTTTCCTAATTGTGCACATTGTTTTGTTTTGATTGCTATCTCATTTGCTGTAGTCCAATTTTGTAATGCCAATTAACCTTACGTTTTTTAGGTCTTCTTTATTTTTTGTTTGTCTGAGCATTAAGGGTTTTTCCCCTTATTTTCCTTTTGGTGTATCCATAAATATTTTATTTTTCTCTTTTAAATATGTCATTTTAATTTTTCATTTTCCCTCTGATATCTCCTTTCAATTTTGATATAATGAAGTTACATGACATTTTTCTAGTTTCATATACACAGTGATAATCATTTAGATTTCTATATCTCCTATTTTAATATGACATTTCTAAAATAAGATGAAAACTTATGCATGTTGTATACTTGCATAAATGTATTAATAGTTTTATAATGTTTAGGTTTCCTTTCTTACTATGCTGTGCTAGTTAGTGAAAATCTTAAAAGTTTTATACATAGATATCCAAAATGCTTTCTAAGTGCAAAGATCATAATAAAGTATGAAATATTAATTTATAAAGAGGGTCAAATAGAAATTAATCTTTATGAGTTTTCTGTTGTTTTAGTGGATTCAGCTTATAATTTTGGAATTTTGTACTACTTCAAATTTCTATTTTCATATGATATATATATATGTATATATATACATATATATATATTAAAATTTATCCAATTGGATTTTTTAAGTGAGGGATTTCATTTTGATTAAACTTTTTTCTACACACCAGATGGCCCTGGCTTTTTGTTTTTCAGGAAATTTCCTTGAAAAACAGCACAGAAATGATTTATCTAAGTACATAATTGTTATGCTTTATTTTCTGTTTTTAGTTTGATGGGAAATTTCTGAAATAATACATTGCTGTATGAAATGTTATACTGAACTTTGAACTTTAACCGTAAGATGAAGCAAATGACCTACCCTCTTAAAGGTCAAGCTATAAAGTATTCTTATGATGAAGCAAGATGCAGATAGCCTAAGAGCAAAATCTCAACCCCGGGGTTCTTGATGAAGCACGCAGACACTCTGGTTGCATCTCAAAAGCAATATGAACTTCAAGTTATGACAGCAGGCCTTGAGTATTCATTGAAATAGTAGTGGCTACACTGTGAATGATTTAAATGAGTCCTTAGTTATACAACCGCATCTTATAGTGGATTCTTAATGGTTCTTCAAAGTCGCCATGAAATGGTAAGAAATTTTGTGCTTGTCATGGCATGGTGTCATTAACAATTGCAGGAGCCCAAGAAGGGTAAGTGTTGAGGTCAAACATGGGTTCAATCCAAGTGAACATGCCGAGCATCACCACTGCAACACCCAAAATATTAACACCAAGTCCAGCTTTAACCTTGAACAGGAAAGAGCACAAGTCATTCAGAATAGAGAAACAAAACAAAACAAAACAAAAAACCCTTGAAAAAAATCTGACCTGGCATATTAAATCAGTATTCAAGTTTTGTGGTTTTATATTTCAGTCGATGAGTTTCAGGATACCACATGATAACTATCTTTCATCTTCATTTAATTATTATTATTAATTTACCCAGAAACATTCTGTAATTGGAATTTTAGAATGTATCTGTATCTGYACTCATTTTTCTTAGTGTTCCCATTTTTCTCTCTTACATCATAATTATGGTGTCCATTAAACAGTTTCACTTATCTTCATTAAAATAGAGATTGCCAAACTCCTGCTCTTGATCTGTCTTTGTTAGTACAGTGTTACCAGACCATAACTATGCACATTTGCTTGCATATTGTCTCTGGCTGCTTTCATGATCTAATGGCAGAATTGAATATTTGTAAGAACAGACAGTATGGTCCACAAAGCCTCACATATTACAGAGAATGTTTGCTCACTCCTGAATTTTCTGCATAAAACATGGATCCCCAAAGTAAAAGAGGGACACTTATCAATGACTATTATTGAGGTCTCCTTCTCTCTCTATCTAAGCCAGTCATATTTCAGAATCTTATTTTTATTAATCTCAACACACAAACACATACACACACAGCATCACATATATTGTATGAAGCACCTTTCTTTTTACTAGAAAGATATTATGTGACTTCTGCATAGAAACATTTCCAGAATTTTTATGTTTCAGGGATTTAGACACAGCAATCTAGGTCGAAGGAAGGGATCAGGGACTTACCTTGGAAATGGATTTGAATAACAAGCTCACCAAGGGACATTGGTTATACTCTTGTTTGTATAGGTTTGAAAGTTGTTGATGAAAATTGGGCTGTCTAGAATATTCTCAAAGAAGTTCTTAACTGACACTAGTTTTGCATTTGGCAGAAATGTGCATATTTTATCACTTAAATTTACCATTTTACTTGCTCATGAATTAGAACAAGAAAGATGCCTTTTTATCTATCAGGCACTAAACCCAACGTCTTATTTAGGAAAAATGTTGTTGCATCAATATTCGTGATAGCAACCCAGTTAGTGGATGGTGTTAACCCTATTTTTTCCTTTTGCCTGGGTCGAGGTGGATTCTGATCTTGACACGTGAAGTTTAAGTTGTGTTAAGCAATTCTGTTTTTCTCCTTTCCCCCCAACCACTCCTGATGTGTTCCTTACATCTTTATTTGCATGTACAAATTCTAATGCCATGTTCACTACTGATAATCACTGTTATAAACAAGTTCCTAATCAGTCATGTGTACATCTTCCGAAGCAGAACTTAGACCSCGCTTTTCCTGATGGTTGATTAGTGTTTAAAAGTAGAGCTTATTCAAGATATTACATGCACATAATAATGTGTATTGATATGGTAGCTTTTTTTTTTTTTTAGCTAACTCACCATGTCTATAACTTTCAGATGGCCATATGAGAAAACAATGGCATTGGGTGGATTTGCTACTGGTAGAAGGAATGCAAATGAAGTACACAGAGTAGAAGGCAGCAAAATATGAAGAGGGTTCACACGAATGGCTTCAGACTATTGTGAAAGATAAAAAGGTAAAAAGAGTTAAAGGAAAATTTTGAGAGTGGGCACCATGCATCAAAACAAGCACATTTTTTTATAATCAGCTTTCCCAGAAGGAAGTTGAAACCTGAAGGCATAAAATTACACACATAAATGATTATTTAAATATTATAGTCCAATTAATTTAGAAAATAAGATATCATTTATTCCAGACACTAAATAAAAATATCAACCTTAGATTATTATATAGTGATAGCCACTGTGTTAATTGTTTTCATATACAATATAGTTATACATAATATATAATATAATAAATGCAATGCACCTGCATATATATTTAAAATTTTTATGAGATGGCAACTATAACCCCAAATAACACATGAATACACTGAAGTCCAGAGAGGCTACAGCAACTTCTCTAAACATGCATCTAGTGAGTAGGAGAGGTTTGGTAAAGTCTCAGGTTCCTCTGACTCCAAAGCTTCTAATTATACCACAAACTTTATTGCTTCTGTGAACAATATTCTGGAAGGAGAAGTGTCAACATGAGATGTTTAAATCCTAAAGTTGCCAGGAAACACTGAGTCCCCCTTATAGCTGGAAAGGATTGAGAATGGCTCTCTCATTTATGTGTAAATGAAAACAAAACCTGGTCAGAAAGAAGATAAATGGTTCACTTAAAATTATGCTATTTGAACATGGAAAATAGTTCTCTTGAGTCAAGGTCACCGAAGGAAGCATTAATATAAAGTCCCTATAAATTACTTCTAGGAGGCCTACTTAGGTCAACAAAGATTCCACACCACAATATTCAAATAAGCAGTCCAATGAACACTACTTTTTGAAAGAGGAGAACATAAATGGGATAAATAAGATACTCACCAGTGGAGCTAATATTGGGAAGAGGATGGTGATGGTAGCTGGGTTACTGGCTACCTCTGTTAAAGATGTGACCATCAAAGAAGATATCAGAATTATTAGCCATACTGGTAATGAACCTAGAGGAGACAATTTATTTCCTATCCACTTAGATAGTCCTGATACCTATAAGACAAATTTGCAATATTTATTCATTAATAATTCATTTTAATTGGACAGAATTTACACACATGTAAAGCATTATTGGCTGAGAACTTAGTTTCCAAAATATAATTTTTAATTCTGTAACATTTTTTATCGTATGGCACCTCTGGATGGCTTTGGTGTGGAGGACTGATAAGTCTTATTTCAACATTATCAACATGCTTGAGAAAGTTTAAATTATCTTCCCACTTTGTTTTAATTACATTTTAATTTTATATACTAATATCTGTGGGTATTTTCATAACTCACTTAGTACTATGTGATTTTAAGAAAAGAACAGTCCCTCTAGCTCATCTCTCCCTACTCCTAAATTGTGTTAGAGGCAGCAACATTCAATTCTTATTGGCTATTTATAGCTACATTTAGAGACTAGTATAGTTATCCTTCAAAGTAATATTCTAATTATGCATTTTTTCCTAATTTTCAAAAGTAGACATTATTTACTGACTTTCTAATATATTACATGAGGATTTAATTTTCTTACACCATCCACCGTACATATATTGTCTCTTCATTCCTCCACAATCATACACCAATAATTATTGTTAAATCATGATTTAATGCTTACCAATATGATTGTACAAATATTTTTCCTAGCTGAGCCACTTGGCATTCTGGGATAATATTTACTTTTCTTTGATTATTTTCCCAGGAAATAATGCTTCATTCTTTTGTTTGCTTAGTTTTCCAAGTATCTATCACCAATGCATTATATTCTCCAATAAAACTGGAAAATTCTTCCCCAAACAGTTACTCTTATGAGATAATATTTTGTTATTTTATCTTCCCATTTCCTCCCTTGGAGATATCTATTCTGTAATATTCCCTCCTCCTACTCCATCTGGACTAGATAGTCTTTAAATCTACTCAAATAATATTCCAGGACTTCCATTTGCTCCTGTGAGTTCCCTTCTCCCTCCAGCTATGGGAATCCTTCCTTATTTATGTGTTATGCTGGGGGCAAACAGCCTTCTATTAATTCTTGAGAACTGGCGCATAGAAGGTAAATTTTGGGGAATCTTTGTATACCTGAAAACCTTTTTAATTTTATTTTTATATAATTTTTATAGTTCAGCATTTTTAAAATTTGAGATTTGAAATAACTGACATGCTGCGTATTTAAATTATTGGACCATTTCTTGCAGATTTCAGTTGGGCTCTTCAGCCAAATCACATATGTCCAAAAAACTGGCTGCACCCAGATTAGCAGATATATTATCCTGTTTTTCTTTTCTAAATGGAATGGAAAACCTACTTTGTGAGACAATTTCAATGGGCTATTATATAATATGCTTATGACAAACTAGGATTGGCATCAGAAATGCATGAAGTATGAGCAGCATACTCTCAGTTCAAAAACTGGCACAATATCACAGATGTGGGTACCAGATATCCCTTGTTATTTGTGGCTTTTATTTATATTGTTGTTTGTTTTTGTCTATGACTTTTAAATGGAAAAATACTACTATTTATGTGACAAAAATTCATCCTAGAGCACACAGACTTTAAGAATGGGTTTTATCTATGTGCAATTAGACATGGAAAAGATGACACCATCTCTATCCCCAGGGTTTCTGAAATTCTAAATGAAGCACTTTGATATTGGGCTCTTAATAGCTCTCTCAGTATAGAATCTCTATATCTTTATCTATGAGAAATTTCTTATATTTTTTGGGGGGGGGGATGTTCTTCCTCTTAATTTTTCTCTATTTCTAACATTTCTATTGATTTACTACATTTTTATTGGTTTACATTGGTTTATATTTTTTTATTGATGCTCTGCTATTAGCTTTTTGTTTGTTTGTTTTTTGTGGTGCTGGGGATTAAACCCAGGGTCTTGTGCATGTGAAGCAAGCACTCTGCCAATGGAGCTATATCCCTAGCCTGAATGATGCTCCCATATTCTTATCACTCATTTTGAACATTTACTTTCTTTTACTTTTTTATTGTATTTCTGGTATATGTTCAAATTTCATTTTTTAACACTGCTACCATTTTTTTTAATTTTTGCTGTTGTATTTCTCATCTTTAAGGGGCTCTTTTTCGTTTTATGCCAATTCCTTAAAAAAAAAAAATAACGTTCTGTTTCACATCTTTAATGTTTCCAGCATCTCTTAGAGGCATCAGAAGCAAATGTGTGTGTGTGTGTGTGTGTGTGTGTGTGTGTATTGCTTCACACATTTATTTTTCTTAATTTTTTCTGTTTATTTTTTCTTTGTTTTCGCATTTTATCTTTTGTTTCTGGGTAATGTGTCAGTGCACATTAGTGTAGTGATTCTTGACTACCATTCATTTTAAGAGAGAGAATAAATTGGTGATTGGAAGCTCTTTGTGCCAGGCAAGAACAGCTGAAAGAAAAACTTTATCATAGGCAACTGAGCGTGGGTCATTATCTCATTGGTAGAAGAGCAAACTTTAATTTTCAGTAAGCAGAGAGAAAGAACAGCAGCCTGGCTATTCAGGACGAGGGAAAGCATCCGAGAGACTCAGAGCCCCTTTTAGACTTTAAAGTCATCCTCAGTATAATAAATAGACAAGTGAACAAATAACAAATAAATCAATAATTATTAATAAATAAATAAATAATAAAAATTTAAAAATAAAATGAAACCATCCTCAGTATTCAGCTCTGGCTTGTACCTCAGTTTTCCCCACATCTTTCAGTGTCATCTGCAGCCAGCTCTTTCTGGCTCTTCCAGGATCTCATGGATAAAGCCCCTTGTTTCCCTTTACTCTTGTCTTTGTCGGCCTGCAAATTTCATCTTTCATTTCCTTCTACTTGGACAGTGTCAAATGTCCTCAAATATCCTCTTTCCCTCTTCTAAACTTTTCATCGTCTCTTGTCTGTTCCTGACCCAGTCATACAGATGGTTTTTGTCTTTGTGAATTAATGCCTTTTTGTTCTGTTCTTTCCAGTTTGGAGGAGATGTGAGAAAACAGTGTTTAATCTTCCATGTTTATTTTGGGGGAAACTTTTGAGGAATGTGTGAAAAGGGAGGAGCATGAGTTATTCCTGCATAAGAGTTTGAAAGTGTTTACCAGTTTGTAAGAAGTCACCTTAAAACAAATCAAGGGAGCCAGGCATGGTGGTGCCCACCTGTAATCCCAGAGACTCTAGAGAATGAGGCAGGAGGATTGGAAGTTTGAGGTCAGCCTGGGCTACTTAGTGAGAACTTGTCTCAAAATAAAAACAATAAAAAATAAGAGTGGGTATGTAGCTCAGAGGTAAGGTATTTCTGAATTCAATCCCCCCTACTAAAGAAAAAAAAAAATCAAGGGACATTTAAGAGAGATATATAGCAGCAAAACCAATGTTGTAGCCATTCTGTCTCCCTGTTTTCAACTAGAAGGGTTTTTTGGCTCTGGATGATTGCCAAACTACTTAGAATTTTGAAGAAAAAATTTTTAAAAATTAACTGTTCCCAAATTGTTTGTAAAACCAGTGTCTACAGGCATATGCCTACAACCATATTTTTGGCTTAAATCTGGCCACTTATGGATAGAGTTATTCTGGGTATTCTTGTAGGAATTTGATTCTGAATACTAGGATTTTTATAGTAAATTAGACCTCCCTCCATGGCTTCCTTAAGTCTCCTGCTGAGAGAGCCTAGTGCATCAGACTAAATCTACACCTTTCTACTTCAGATATTTTTGCTCAAGGGTCTAGTTTATACTTTCAAGGTTATTTTAAATTTCTAGGATCCAGTCTGGACATATTCTGGGGAGGAGAGGTGAGCAAAAGATGTATTAGTGTCAGATTTTCCCATTCTGATTTCCTCGAAGTTCAAATGGGCAGACACAGGAATGGAAATTATTTATTCTGAGAATTCAGAGCTCATTATTGTTGAAATAGTAGAAAAGTGCAATTGTCTCATATTTCTACCATTTCTTTTTGAGTCATCTATGAGAGAAGCCATGTCTAGACCTAAAACAATTTTGTAAAATGCACTCAAAATTGAGACAATTTCCAAGACTTTTATCTTTGACTAAATCCTTTCTAAAAACTCAGTATCTAAATACTATGCAGAAAATTGACAAAAAACAAACAAACAAAAAAACACAAAAAACAAACTTAGAAGCAATGAACAGACTCCCAATAGGTTACCAAGGAGAGAAGAGAGAACTATTTGTTTTGAGAAATATAAAAAGTTAACCTCTTATAAATCCAAAGGCTTGACCTTCCTATCACCCCATTTCCTTCAATTTGATGATTGAGTAAGGAAATGGAGCTACCATAAGTTTTGAGTATTGCACAAAAGTCTATGAAATCCAGACAAAAGTAGTTTTTAAGTCGTAAAACACTTTTAAAAAATTTTTAGAGAAGAGATTTTTCTTCCAGCCACCTTACAATGACCAGGGCAATTAAAAGGGACCAGCACTGCTTTATAATGTCTGGATAGGTCAAAGCAACAGCTGAGTGTTTTCCCCAAGGTATTTTGATTTCTTTCTAAGGCTTGACATAATAGAATATTAGATACCTGCATGAAATTCTCTCTGGGCTTCAGTCAGTAAACACTTATTATAAAATTTGATACTAATTTTATTTCTAATTCTACTTTTTTTGAAAATAGGACCATGACATATTGAAATCCAAGAACGACTCAAATGAAATAAGGTAAAAGTATAACAAACAAAAGTATGTTTCACAAGGTATCACTTTAAATATCATTTTTATGTATTTTTTTCTTACCAAGCTAGTCTTCTAATATTATTGTATGGATTAAGAATTTTAATCTCCTTTGAATTATCTTTTTTGACACAGTAGAACACCATAAAAACTGTTTTATGCTTGTAGCCTATAAAAAATATTGAACTCTGAACTCACTTCATCAGTGTGGTACACTCACTGCATGGTTACTGAAATCTGCATCATTAAAATGACATAGTAAAGCTGAATATGTCAAAAGTTTGAATGTTTCTGTGTTCTTCTTTTGAACAGTCTAGTTAATTGTTAAATATCTTACAGAGTATTACCTCACAGCCATCTGCCAGGGCAAACCCTCCACCAACAAGAATGGCTATATCCCAAGGCATGAATGACTGGAATTCTTTCCAAGTAATCAGTGGAGAGTAACCAAAAGCAACTGGAAAAAAAAAAAAAAAAGCTACAGTTAAATAGTGCTTAGAATGTGCCACTATTCCCTGTTTTTATCAGTATTCTACATAGTCATCTAACAGGAAGTTTGTAAAATTTCTATAACTTGGAAAAAATCCTTTGGCAATATTTTGAAATACATTTAAGTAGATGATAACACTGTCACTTATAATGCTATTCATTCATTCATTCATTCATTCAACCATTCCACTACTTCTACTAATAACACAGTGAATTAGACTAGACATTTCTTTGTTATGTAGAATATTAACATTTCATTGGCTCTAATAGAATCACTGTACAATTTTAATTATTCTTCACTAAAATTTATTTGGATACTTTATTATTTTTTAAGTCAGGAGAATCATGACAAATTCGTCAGGATTCCATTTTAAAGGTAATCCAAAACTCAGATTAAAAAATTAAAATTGTATTTGTGGAAATGAAAGCAATTATCACAAAGATATCTCCTGATATTTGGGTTCTGAGCTTTCCATTTATTTGTTGATAAATAAGTTCATTTAGGAGCAAATTATCATTTAACATCTGTGTGTAAGAGGCAGCCTTCCGTATGATGAGATTATAAAGTTGCTTTTCAACCTCCTTTTTATCTCCTTCCCCTAAATTGGAACCAAACCAACCTTCACTGATGACTGAAATTTTGCTACAGAATTCCTTAATTGCATTAAGGCCATATATTCTTTCAAAATGAAACATCTCTGAAATGACCTCTTACCTAAATTTAACAGAATATATCTTATCTGCCATTTTAAAAATATGTTAAATGATGAGGGTTCCATGAAGGGTGGATCGGGACAACTTTTTGAGAGAAGGATTCAGATCTAGGAACCAGGGAAGCTAGAGATTACCACATTGGTCCCTCAGAGCTTGTCCTTGTTGGTATTTAGGGCTTTGATTGCTGTGCTTAGAGTCTTCAGGATCTCACAAGAATCAATGCTAAATATTCCACTATTCCTTAACACACATCAAGAATAATCCTAATCTCAAGTGAAGAGCAAAATGCATTATTTAATTCTACATAATGCTCTTCACACATATCATGTCCTGAATATCTGATACATTAATTGTTTATAGAAAGTGATGCAAAGAGTCAGATGGGTCAATCCCATGGCACAAAACACAGTTTCTTTCCAGTAAAAACAAAAAACAAAATACAAACAAAACAACAAACACTGTATGTATCTACTACTCTATTTCCAAACTTACAAATTATTTGTTATGTGTCTACTCATTGACAATATAGGACTCTGACTACTTAAAACATGCTGTGTTACTATAAAGTACAGACACAAATGAATCCTAGGTCTAAGGAGTGCACCTGTGAGAGAGTGTGTGCCCATGTAAATGCACACGCCTGTTTATCCATGGGTTGTAAATACAGTAAATGCTCCCACTGAATACCATTCCTTTTGAATGAATACCATCCCTAGGTTATGGCTATGTGGGATTGAGTTTCTTTTCTTCCATAAGTACTGTGAGGATGTAAATGCTCTTTCTCTTGAAATTCACATCACATTTTCATATCCTCAGCATTTACTATCAGGTTGTCATTAAGAAGTAATGACTTCCAAGTTTTTGTCTCTGTTTGCTGATATTAAGATTAATTATGATTATGACAAGGAAGTTGGTTTATTATAGGTCATGTAGTACTGTTCATACACAGCAGAACCCTAACTATGGTTCATAAGAAAGCCTATTGTTAACTTCTGCATGTTAGGTGATCTCTCTTGTGGGTGTAGGACAAGACGATACAGTGTGTAAATAGGGCATGCTAAGCCAGGAGTTGAGTGATCACGGACATTCCTTCTGTTCTAAGTGCTAACTGAAACTGATGGAATTTTGTAATTTTTTGCTCTTTTGTCAAATTCAATTAAAGTTAGTTATAAATGGTACTTAACCAGTTTCTCCTGTAGGTGTAGTTTTTGTCAGTGTTTTAGCTGGAATTATAAAAAAAAGGAGTCCTACAATTAAGGCAACAGTTGAATCTGTAACAAAACCAGGGTTCCTGAAAAAAAAATTGTGCATTAAAAAATGGCATTAAGAACTAGTGAGTTAAAACATCAATTGATTATGCCAATAGTACTTATTTAACAGGTGGCATAGCTTATTTACTCCATATAATCTGCTCTAAAATCTATGGATTTCCAACCAGATGACACAACTCCTTAGAACCCATCATCAGAACATCATCAGAACACATTCCCATTGCTCTCATATAGTTCTTCTTATTTTCAATATCACATTTAAATATGCTGACATATTAGGTCAACTGGCCAAATTTCCCTTTTAGGTAAGCTTGCAGATTTGTGAATCAATTTCTTGTTTGATTTGTTTCTTTTAATTATATTTGCAGAAAATTGAGGTTAAAACAATTTATGTAATGGGAAAAAGCCCATAACATCCTTCTCTTGAACTGTGACAAAACATAATAATGATAGAGTCTTCTTAAACTCTTCTATAAACCATAAAAAGGAACTGATCTGTTTTCTAAGACATAACACCTGCTTCTGCAGTTTTATGTCCTAGCCATGTCAGACAAATAAAACCAACACATTTAATTCTTTGCACTCCAAGAAACTCAGTCAAGAATATTAATTCCTGGGATGGTTTATGAGATGCTCATAAATTATCACTGTACAAATTAAGAGTGACTCAGGAACAGATGGGGGTCTTAGAATCACCAGGCCATTCCAGCAAATAAGACAGGTTCCCCAAAGCCTCAACAGTTAAAAAGCACCTGGAAACCAGAAATAAATGAAACAGAGCATAGATAATTAGAATATAGTTTCAAAAGTCAGTAATATTAACTGAGTGCATTTTCATAGCCTGAGAAGACATGCATATACCATAAGGATTAATTTTCTATACTGTAACTCAGTAATTTTTATATTTTAAAAGCTTCTCAACTCTCATAATTTGCTTGAAAGATCTGAATAAATAAAGAAATGCCGCATCTTTCCCAATCTAACAAATTTTTAACAGGTTCTGTTTTCCTTAGACTTATTTTCTTTCATTTTGAATCAAAGCCTATCATAGCATAATTTGTTCTATAAACTTGACCAACACTAATAATTTACTTTCTTATTTTTTATTTTAGTTATAAATTTTAGTTGAATTTTTGCCAACTTGGGCAAGGCATCATGTAACTGCAGTTTGCTTTATATGAAAAGACACATTGAATTCTGTCCAGGTTCAAACAGATGGAATGAAAACATTAGGTGGTAGCTATAAATCTTAATATATCAGGCTAGGTTAGAAATTCTAAATGTCTAAAACCTCTGAGTAACAAATATATTCAACAGAAAATATATTTCAAATAAAATCAAATCATAAATATTGAATAATTTATTTTTGAAAGACTTTTAGAACTATTATTATTTGATTATGACTTTTATTTTTAGCTCATTATGGATTAGGTTGTCTCAATATTATAAAATATTAAGCTTATACACATTTCATTTGCTTTGTGTGTCTGACAATTAGATTTGTATTTTTCATCCTCTCTCAAACCTTTGTTCTCTTTCCTATTGTTTTTTTTCCTCCAAATTCTAGGTGACAGGAGCACCTGCCCATAACAAATGCACTGTTTTCCTGCTACAAACAAAGCATCTCCTGAATTACATTATCATTCCCTAAGGAGTAACACTTAGAAACTGATTAAACTGAATTTCCTATTGGGATTTTTGCCTGGTTTTTATTAGCTATTGTCTGGTTTCATTTAGTTCTTTCATACTAGTATTAAGAGAAAGATTTCCCCTACCTTGGATGATAGGAGTCAGATTTTAGAAAGTTTATGTTGGTCTATATTCTATTACAAAACCACAAAGTGCTAATCAACTATTTAATAATAACTTTCTTTGAATAATGTTGCTTTTTGTTGAGACCTCTCAAAATGAAAAGCATTACTCCTAAGGGAAGCCCAACTTTTATAACATGCTACCCTGTCATGTTGCTTGACTTGTGGGATCAGTAGAAATTTGGATTCAGATTTTGCACCTTTTAGATAATGGTGGCAATAACCCTAAACCAGAAGGCTCTGAGTCAGAGATAGAAGAGTTTCTTTATTCCATGTGGCCAGCATACATCTGACTCAAAACAATTTTGGTTTCTGTCTCCAAACTATATGGATTATTGCTGGGGATTGTAAAACAGGAAGTCCAAGTCAGAAATCTCCTGAATTTAGGAATGAGAGTACTCCATTGAAAGGTACGTTGGGAACACAAATCTCAAAACCAAATTATTCATATTGACATGTAGGATGGAAAATCTTGTTATAATTTCCCCCTTCACTTCACATGACTCAGCAATGACTCTGGTATACAAGACTTTGAGAGATAATATTAACTCTGCCAGGCTTCTAGTATTAGCTTTTAAAATCAGTCTTATTACTAATTCAGGAAATTCTTATCTTTGAAATGGAGGTTGGGCTGAATTTGTAGAGAACTAGTCCCACAATATACGTACATGGAAAGAATGACAAGCCCAGTCCTTCCATAGAGGGAAGGAATATCATAATAATAGTTAGTTGGATAAATTTATGTCAGATTATTCAGAGGCATTGAGTGGCATTTCTTTCATGTAATAAGCATTTGTATAGCTTTTTCTACAGGAAAAGGAGCAGCACTCTTCTGAGTGATATTATTGTCTGCATTTTGAAGATGAAGATGAAGAGGCAGTTCAGTGACTTGCCTAGAGTAAGTGGAAGAGCCCAGGAGTGGAACCCAGGCAGTGTGGCTCTGACGTCCATACTCCTGACCTCTACAGACTGCAACTTTTCTGCAGATGATATTTCCAATTTTGTAAGGAGGATATAGTCTTGCTTAATGTTCCCTGGTGTTCTATTATAGGATAGTATGGTTATCCTTTCTTAACCTTAGGTTTTATTTCTTATAATTATTTTTCCTGAAAAGATTAGAAATAAAAAAAAATATCTTTGCAAAAGAAAGAAAGAAAAGAATCTCATAGTATCTTTTCAAGATACAGGAATTACGTAGGAGAGAAGTTCAGTATAAGACAGGGAAGTTCTGACAAGCCTAGCATGTAATACTTACTCTGAAAAAAGTTCAGACCAACCAGAGACAAAGCCAGGATCTCGGCTAAACCATAAAAGGGCCATTATAATGAAGAGAATCAAGGTCACGATTTCTTGATACCTGTGGAAAGACTCCAGTCATTTCTTTGTTTCTCTGTCAGGATATTTGTGAAAACTCTCTGAGCTATTGTCAAGAATAATTTTAGCAGAGCACTAAACTCTGTAAGAACTGGATATGTCTGGATATGTCCATGATTTGAGAGCATCATACAGTTGGGTAAAGCTCTCCCTCCTTGGTGGGCTCTCTCAGCTTCTTGTCATTCTATACTGGAAAATTCTAGTTCAACAGTGGCATGTATTTTATCATGTTTATCGTAAAATTTAGCAAATTTCGTGTGTGAACCGAATATTACACCTTGTGGACAATTATGTGCTTATTTTATTTGCTTTTAAACAACTACTTGCAATCCGTGTGTGTGTGTGTGTGTGTGTGTGTGTGTGTAGCTTACCTCATTGGGCCAAGTTTTTTGTATTCTTGCTTGATCACCTCAGCACAAGCTTTTTCTTTGACAGTTTTGGTTTTGCCACATTTGAACAACTCCTTAAAACTGAAAAAGAAGTAAAGACTCTTAAGCAAAGGGTTCTTTCACCACTGCCCTCCTTTACAGAAGACATTTTTGTGATAACCTTTTATGATATGAAACTCACTGCTAAGAACAGAAATCTCTGCTTTCCAAATATTCCTCCCCTCTCTTTTTGGTTGTCTTCTCTGTTTTTACCTGGCTGACTCACTCCTCAATGCTTAATTATTGTTGCATATTTTCCATGATGTCTTCCACCAATCTCATAATTTTCCAAGTCTTTTGGTGTCATTGGAATTTTTCCATGTGCCACTCATCTCTAAAACTTTTTTATATGCTCCATCATTATATTACATTTAAAAACATATTTATTATAAATCTTGTTTGATAAACACATGTAAGTTTTATCCCAGTAGTTAGATAAATAATTTGAGGACAGGGACAGTGACAGTGTCATACATGTTTTCTTTGGCCCCATATCTCTTACCACTGACATACACAGTAAATACCTGACTCATCAACTGAACAGTACCTTTGGCAAATTTATGAGACAGTGGGTGTCAGGTCCATCAATTTTCACAAAATGCTCAATTTGAGTTTTTACACTAGAACAGGAAAGGCACCTAGATAGATCCTGGTCAGAATTTAAACTAGATCTATTCTCAAAAGTAAAACCAACAATATTGATTTTTTTCTGTAAGTTTCTGCACACTTGTCCTAATAGCACCTAGTAGATCTTCCAATTTATTTCCAGGAGTAACTGCTACTCTTTATTGCTTTTAGTTACTTATTTTCTTGACCATAGTTCCCTGTGACATAATTTTTCTGTCCTAAATTCCAGGGTTTTCAAAACTTTAAAGAGTTTTTGTGGAACACTGCTCTATATGGATTTCTTTTTTCTTTTGGTTAGTTTGTTTTTATAAATCCCTCCAGAGGGAGAAGAAAAATGGGGAGATGGCTAAATTCTTAGAGATTATCTCTTAGAATATTCTTGGGTAGCTTAGTTTAAGTTACGTGTAGATAGAGAAAGTGGACACATTTTCTTCTGGAGACTTTGGGTCACACATATGTACTTATGAGAGACCAAGTAGAAAGACTAGGATTATGAGATGGTAGTTTTCTCATCAAGGTACATGATGATTTAATCTATTTTCCCCCCACACATTTGCACTATTCAGCCTTGTTTGGAGTGTGATTCCCTTTGAAGGAGCAGAATTTCCTCAATTCTTAAGCTATCTGTTCTGTATTTTTATAATTATCCTCATGGGTAAAACCTAACCCATGAAAATAATTAGATGGATATTGTTGTTGTCCTATCAATGAGGGAATAATCATATTTTACAGTTTCAATTATGTTATTGAACAGTGCCAATCTCCAGACAATATTCCTTTTTCACAACAAAAATAGCACTATTATAAGAAACAAATCCATGAGCCACCTTGAGAATACTCACTGGAAAAGTATAGCTAATGAAAAAGATCACCTCTCTTAGAAGCTGCTCTCCACCCAGTGCACTACATATATACTCTCGGTCCCCTTGGTTGCAGATAGTAAATAGTTAAGTCAAAGCCAATTGGCTTTGCTACAAATGAAGGTTAGTTCCTTCATAAAGGAAATGATGAAGCATGTGCCAATGCATCAACCCCAACCTCTCCATTTAAATCAGTTCCAAGTCCCTGATAGATGAGCTACACTTCCCAAGTATAATGGAACATTTATAATGGGTGAATTAACTATGTTAACAGTCAACACACTAATCAGAATGTATGGTAGCCTGCCAGGGGAGGGGCTCATAATTTCTGTTGATCTAAAACCTCTGGAGGTAAAACCTCTGGAGGTGAACATCCTGGCAGACTGAAAAGGACACTGAAAAATTAGCCAGAACATGAAACTATGCTGTGTGTAACCAGTAGTGGACAGAAAGGGGACTGTTCAAATCTGCCACTCACCATGATTTATGGGTTTTGCCTAATGTATGCACTTCACAAGATTTTTTTTCTTCCTTTATCTTATTTATTTCTCTTTTCTGAGTTGTATTAAAATAATGACAGTGGTTGCACATATATTTTGTAAAGTCTTTATATGTAGCAACAGAGCAAAACAGCTGGGGGCCTGTGACCCGATCTTTTCATTGGCGCTGGACTCCTGTCCCCTTGTCTGACATTGCTACCTATACAACTGGGGAGGCCCAAAGGCTTGGGTTTCCTGGGAGGGGCACGGAGTATCAGCTGGCCTCTCCCCACTAATGCCCACCTGCTGAAGTCAGTGACATCCCACACATTTGCTTCAGCGGGAGGACTGCCACATGCTGCTCCCACAATCTGGACAGGATTATTTTTGTTAAATCATTAGTAACATCTTTCCACTACTAAAACCATTGGGCAGTTCTGGAGAAAAATCAGGAAGAATTGAGAGAGGAGCATGTCAGTCCTTATGTTACTAGGCTTGGAAATCGGTGGGCACAGGCAGGAAACCACACCCACCATACTATTTTGCTTTTCAAAAGAAGTACAAATAGCTGACTTCAGCCTCATTGTCTATGTGAATAATATGCTGTTTTATTTATAGGTCCTGGAAATTATTTAAATAAAACTCCACAAAAATGAATTTGAATTGTTTTATTTTTCTCTTTCTATTTTTCTTTTTGGAGTATTACTAAGTGAATTGAAAACAGAGGCTGCATTTTAGGTTTTCCTCAGAAGCTCTTCTTAATTTTCAGTGTCAGCTGTCGTCTAAGTCGTATAACTCATTGCTGCTTATGAGATTTAATCCTAGCCAAAATAATATGCTAATATATATATAGAGAGAGAGACATTTTATTGACATCAGCAATTCTTTATTGATCAGTGTATCTTATCTCGGGTACTATGTATTCGACTTGTACTCGTGTGTGTTAGAATCACAGTGTTGGAATCCATCTTTGTGAATTCTAACTTTTTACAGTTGAAGGAACTGAGACTTGAGACTAGATCAGGACTTGCAAAGATCATTCATCTGGCCTCTGAGAGGCCACAGTGTTATCCCTGTTTGCCCAATCCCTGAGATAATAGAGAATATTCTTAGATACTCAATTTACTTTATATGTTAGAGCCTGTTTCAATTTCGGTGCTAGCAAAAAGCAGGAAGCCCTGTGTGCTTTGGTTGAAAGTAACTTAATAACCCAAAGCCTCTCCCAACTGATGCCTATCTGCTGAAGTCAATGACATTGAGTCAAGTAGAAGGCCAAAACTTCTAAAAACTCCACTTTGACAAGTTGGATTGAGTCCTCTTCATAATGAGTTCCTTAGACCCTTCTGGCTTATGCATATTGTAGTGAATTAGGACTCAAAGAACACCTGGATGGATTTGCCTTATAGACTCTTCCACAGCCAACATTTCTTAAATGAGATTCTAGCTTACCTTTAAAATTTATTCATGCATATCAGTTTTTTGGGTAATAAAAAGATGGAAAAGCACCAGACAACTCGGAACCTGGACACCTTTATTTATTTTATTAACATAAAAAGTTGACTTATGGGGCTGGGGTTGTAGCTTAGTGGTTGAGTGCTTGTCTCGCATGTGTGAGTCACTGAGTTCAACCTTCAGCACCACATAAAATAAATAAATAAAGCAAAGATATTGTGTCCACCTACAAGTAAAAAAAAAGTTAAAAAAAAAAAAAAGTTGACTTACTTGAATCCTAGGAAAAGCCACTGAAGCCAGATCCAGGATAAGAGTAGAAGAATAATAGCAATTGGGAAGGAAAACAAAAACCATGATCCAAAGTTGAGGCAATCACAATCAGGATAGCGTCTGTATGGAAATACAGAGAAGCATTCAGAAGAGGCATGAGTGAAATCCCTTCCGATAGTTACTGGGAAGCAGTGGTCCACATTTCTTGTGCTGCTGGACAAGAGGGAAGTTCCGCCATGTATTTACCATTAAGCACAGTAGTTAGTTGTACTCCTTGTCTCCTTTCTTGATTCAGCAAATTTGTAATTATTGCTGCATCCCAGAAAAGCAAGAGTGGGTATGTTTTGATCTCTTTTCCCTTCGTTCAATCTGTAGCACTGTACTGACATTCATTAAATGCATAAGAAATGGGTATGCAGGGGGAGAGTGTGTTTTTTTGTGACTACTCAAATCAGAATAAAGAAAGACAAATTATCAGACTTGGGAACTGGTGAAAATTAACAGAAGTATCTGTTCCCATTTCACTTTGGAAGAGGGTTTCCTTTATTCTTAGGCGGGAGCTCTGATCTATCCTGTACTGCCTCTCATGGCTGTTTGCTTTTCCCTGATTCTTCTGTCCCAAACCACAGTCATCCTAGAGCCTCAGTAGCCCTTTCTTCCTAGATCCAGATGATGCTTTGGGGCTCAGTCAAATGAAATAAATCTGGGCCAGATGAGAACAGTAAAAATGTTCTTGGGAAAGCATCAACATCTTCTTTATTTCTTCTAGTTGCTATCAACTTTTTAACTCACATAATAGCAAAACAACAGTTTCTTTGCTGACCTCACATTCATTATTTAAAAATGTGGTCTAAATACCAATAAATTCTCATCTAGTTATCTATTTTACAAATACAGAAAAACAACAGGAAATTTAAGAAATTGTCTCTTTAACATTTTTTAAAGCAACAACACAGAGTTGGAAATCTGAACAATATGGAAAATATACATAAATAATGGAAATATTACTAACATGCTTTAATATTTTTGAAATCACTAAGTACAGAAAACTTTATATAAATATATATTTTCTATTTAAATTACACCTTTCATTTTATTACTTACAAAGACCATATAAATAAATGCAGTGTTTCATATTACATTTATGTAGCAAATCTATGTACTTTAGAAAGTTCCTTATACTTTATGAGGGTTTCTAAGTGATGAACAACTTAAAAACTCATAGTAGGTATTCAAAATTAAAGATTTCTAAAGTTTTCTGCAATTTTTGTTGAGCTTATAAAAAGTTACTAATCTTTCTGGGGCCCTTGAGTTATCTTTATCAACTTGAGGATAATTTTTTATCTATGTTGTAGTGATCCAAGGATTAGTTTATGTTTTTTGAAACTAGAAAATGATAAATGATAAAAAGAAATGTTAGAAAATACATAGAATTAGATGAATACTTCATTATGTTCAGAAGGCTCTTGAAAATTGCTCATTTTTGAAAAAACTTTTTCTTTAGTTGGAAAACAAAATATGGGGAAAAGGCTTAAACTGATTTTCCATCAATTTTATTAGACTTGGATTTACAAGATGACCTTTGTGATTCTGTTCAGCCTAGAGATACTTGGAAATACTACATCGTTTCGGTTCAGAACAAGGCCTCATTTTTCACGCTCTATACATCATACCTGTACTGCTCTCCCACCTGCTGGATAGAACCCTGCAAATATGTTTAGCAAATATGGGCTCTTCAGAATTTTTGCCTGAATGGATACTTTAAGAATAAGAAAGCTTGAAAGAGATAAACTTTTTTTTTTCCTTGAGAAGTAAGGAAATATATAAACAGCCACACAGAATTGTGACCTTTTGGTAGTCTTAACACATACTTGGAATGAATATTCTGAATTGCATTCTCTTTGCTCTGATGGACTTTTTCCATGTTTTCTTATATTATACAAGTGAAGTGACTGCAAATATGTGCCTAAAGCAACATTGATCTTTTCTATCATAAGAAAGTCAATTCTGATAAAGTTCTTTTCATTTACCCAACACTAATTTGGGTGTCTACTCATGTTTGATCCAGGAGTATTCATGATAGGTACTCTTCTAACTATTGAGGATCCAATAGTAAATGAGAGGGATGCAGTCCAGATTCTCAAGAACCTTATACTAAAATAATGTATGCAGAAAATAAACAGAGAAGCAAATTCTGAAACAGAAAATTAAACAGAATAATGTAATAAAAAGCAATTAGAAGAAAGGAGAGAATTTACATAGTACGATCAGAGAAGGTGAAACTCAAGATGAGATATAAATTGTAAGAAGGAGAAAGGAAAAACAAGGATTGGCAAGAATGTGGATAAAAGGAAACCATTGCACATTGTTACCTTGTAAATTATATGTACAGCCATTATGGAAAGCACTGGATGCTCCTAAAAATTAAGAAAAAAATACTTCCATAGGATCCAGAAATCCCACTCCTGTGTGTGTGTGTGTGTGTGTGTGTGTGTGTGTGTATATATATATATATATATATATATATATATTTCCAAATGAAATGACTATGTTGAGGAGATATCTGTTCTCCTATGCTTATTCCAACAGTATTCACAATAACCAAGAAACAGATACAACCTAATGGTCCATCAACTGATGAATGGGTCAAGAAATGTAGTACACATACACAAAATGGAATGTTATTCAATTGTATAAAGGATGAAGTCATGTAATTTTTGTTAACATGAATAGACCTGGAAGATATGTGTTGCGTAAATTAAGCTAGGGATAGACAAATGCCACATGATGTCATTCAGGTGGAATCTAAATAAAGTTCATGTCATTGATGTTGAGAGTAAAACGATCATAATCAGAGGCCGGGGACAATTGTCTGGAAGGCAGGATGGAAAAAGTTAATCAATGAGTACCAAGCTACAGTTGGGTAGGAGAAATACAATCTCGTGTTCCATTGCACAGTAGGATCACTATAGATAATAATGCACTAAATGTTTCAAAAAAGCTAAAAGATAGGATTTTAATGTTCACTATGAAGAAATGATGGTTGTTTGAAGAGATATAGATGATTAAAGCCATTACTTGAACATTATCCAATGTATTTTGAAATAGCACCTGGTACCCCATAAAGATGTACAAGTTTTATGTGTTAGCTTAAGAAGTTTGGTGGTGAAGATGAAGAGAAGGCAATAGTTTTTAGATACATTTGGAATAAAATTTGAGAAATGGAGGAAAAAGGTCACATATTGAAATGGTGAAATCTGGGTCAAGACAGGTGGGCAGAGGACTAGGAAAGGGAGTGAAGGCTGCTCAAAATTTCCTCTGGGAATGTTAACTTGAGATGGCTTTAGTTTACTAAGTGACCATTTTGGATATGCAGTTAGATAAGTGAGTCTAGAATTCAGAGGAAAAGGCAGGGATAGAGATATGAAATTGGCAATCATCAGTGTGTAGGTGGTATTATAAAGACATGGAAATGGGTGTGATACAGTGAGCTTTGATGCATGCTGAGTTGTCAAGGAAAGGCAGAGGTTTAGGAATGAGCAGATGAGCGAAGCACATTTAATTCTGATGAAAATCCTGTGATCAGGGCTTTATGTTTCCATTTTACACAGGAAGAAATCAAGTCCCAAGGGGTTAAGTGAAGTGCTCAAGGTCACAGATCATGTAGTTAAGCTGTATTTTTCAACCCATGAGGGAGTTTTATTTTAAAACACAACCACCTCTTTTCATTAAAGCACTGTGTTCTCGAATCCCATCAAGATCGAAATTTCCATATATATTATGGAGTACCCATAGCCAGAATGCAACTTTAAGTTTCTAAGGAAATTTAAAAACAAACTTTAGAAATGACTGCACCATAACACATTGGCATGCTTTGACCTAAAGCATATGTGTGCTTAAATTTTGATACCTGGGAAGATAACATTGTCATTGCAATTCTTATGATCAATGAAATACCCAGAAATACCAATGAAACACAAAGAAATGGCTTTGAAAGTATGGATGTAGTCATGGAAATTTACAACCTTGTAACAGATTTTGGCCATTAAGCCCCATAATAAGCTAGTGTCTACACTGATTATAGTTCCATTGATTAATGACTGTTTTGATTATTTCTGAGACAAAGCCACTTTTTAGTTTTGGATTTGTCTGCTTCCAGAGGGTTTTTTAAAAAATATTAACTGCTCATTATTCAGAAGCCAGGCTTCGATTTCTAACAGCGATAACAGAAGTAGGAGCAGCAGCAATAATAGTAGCTACCATTGCTGACAAGTTGTCCTGTGTGCCAGGCTCTCTATTACAGTCACATGTGCACTATGTCTTTAAATACTTACAATAAGAAGTTTTAGTATTGCCCTCATTTTACACAGGAGGAAACTGACCTTCACAAGGTACAGCTAATATACAGCAGGCTTGAAATCTGAGCCAAAGTTTAAATACAAATTCTATAATGTTCAAATGTCTTTTACAGTATTTTACAGAGAAATTATTTCTAAAAAATTTAAGCTTATGAAGGGAAAATCCTGGTAACCTTTGAAGATGGCTATTGTTAGGTAATTGGTTTACCTCCTCCCTTTATTTAGTAAAGAGTTCAGGGTGGGCAGATGGGCTTTGAATTAGGGCAAGCATAAATGGGTTTCCATTAGCACTCCTACATTATGAACCTATGGTATAATCCTCCACATACCTGTGGCTCTGCTTTCCACAATTTCAGTTATCCATGGTCAATCATGAACCAAAAAAATTAATTAATTATTAAATTAATTATTTCTTTTACTCTTTCAGGACAGAAATTACATTCATCCAATTTTTATTATAGTAGTGATAGTACTGTTACAATGGCCCTATTTTGTTATTTGTTCATGTTGTCAATCTCCAATTGTTCTAAATTTATAATTTAACTTTATCATAAGCATTTTTGAATAGGAAAAAACATTATCTGTATGGTTTGGTACTATCTGCAGTTTGGTGCATCCACTGAGAGTCTTGGAACATACCCCTTGTGGATAAAGGGGGATTATTGTTATTTAACACATAGTAATCGTGACTGTGCTAATAGTTGGTAACACAACTTTCTTCTAAGCTGCTTTCTATACCCATGATTTCACAAATGACAACTA